TGACCTTCTTTAGCCGACTCATCTCTAGCAATGGCTTCCTCCATTTCGCCCTTGCCATCAACAGCTAGAACCTCGGCCAAAAGAGCTCAGTCCCCCCATCTTCATGACTCTGGACCATGGGAGCAGCAACCTCTTGATGCTCGGGCACGTCATCAACTTCAAGTTCTTCTCCTCGAGCCATAGCCCCTGCCTCGGTTGGGGCACTAAACTCCTCACGCATGGAGGCCACATCGACAGAAGAGCCCTTATCTGGAGCAGTTGCTTTAGGGCTTTCATCCTCTTCAGTCTCCACCCGAGCCGCCTCACACGTAGGAACTACCCTGGACTTAAAGGTGTCTCCCTAAGATTCGGAGTCCCCTCCCGATCAGAAGCAACATCAATAGGCTCAGAGCTGTCAGAGTCGTCTGCCTCAGTTTCTAAAGAAAAAGAAACCATTTTAGCAGAAACAGAAGATAGTTCAGAAAGAACAAAGGGTGATACTAGAAGAATTCTTAAAGGATCGAAAGAGGAATGCCTACCTCCTGTTTTTGACACCGGAAGCTTGTCGCTCTTTTGCCTCCGAATATGCCCACTAGCTGAAGATGCTACAAGGGTGTCCACAGCAGTCGTGCACTTTATTTTCTTTCCCCCTCCTGGAATAGGAGCTGCCACCTCAGATCCACCTCCCTGAGAAGGCCCTCCAGCCAATTTGCTGTGAGGACCGCTCCCGATTAGGACATTCAAGTCATGCGGTGGACGTTTATAAATCATGAAAGCCAGTGGATTGTCGGTGAGCCTTTGGAGCTGCCATGGATGTTGGAAAGAGGAATCGGAACGTGTGATTGAATGAGAGGACTAAGGTGGACATGGACAGTTGGGCATGTGATAAACTATATTTCTGTATAATTGTGCCTTAAGCCCCCATGAAAGGTGTATTATAAAGCTTATTGAGCTTATTAAAGATATGAATAAAGAGCTCCAATTTATTGGGTTATGGAGTTGTGTAGTACTATAGAAACCAACATATATAATGAACCACCTTCCTAATATGAGTAGACATAAAAGGAAGGAAAATATTGTTCCTAAAGATAAGTACAAGTTTCTATATTTCTACATGGCAATATCACATCCACAAGGCAAATGCTGTGTATGGCAGGGCTTCTAAAAGTTCCTATAGGGTTGTTTGGCAATTACAACCTCAAAATAATGTGAGGATGAGTGTTCTCCTCGAATCTCAAAATTCTATATATTTTGTTATTTTTTGTTACTTGGTATATACCGGCAATAGAAAAGTTCTTTTTCATTTTTCAAATTTGTAAATACTCCTACATATTTAAAATTTTGTTGTTAAACTTACCTTTTTTTTATAATGAATATTGTGTTTTAATATTATTATTTTACTATATATCATATTAAGTTCATTTGGTGCATATTTATATTTCCCGCCATAATGCATGCGCAAACAGTATTGGAAAAATTACGTACATATCCGTTATAGTTTACATTATTACGGTTACACCAAATAGTTTACGTTATTACAGAAGTGTCCATTTTTTATCTTCCATAACGTCATTTTTAAAAAAGGACAAGTTTGCCCTTTTTCAGATGTTTAACATCCGAAAATCTCAGAAATTCGAATATTGAACATCCGAAATTAGCCGCAGCTCCAACAATGTTTCTTCCCATTTTCGGATGTACAACATCCGAATTTCTGAGATTTTCGGATGTTGAACATCTGAAAATTGCACTACTGTTTTCTGCATATTTGAACATTGGCTCAATGTTATTGATTTGTGAGTTCTTTTGTGCACCTATTTGATATCTCATTGGTAAAGATTAGTAAATAGTTCATAGATTTTGATTTTCAACAGCCTACGTCTTTGACAAACATCATTTCTTGGATTTTGAAGCCATTTCACAGAGTGAAGGTATGTGGGTCGATTTTTTATATTTAGATTGCCACCTGATTTTTAGTTAGGGCTTAGACTCAAGCATAGTAGTTATTTCTTGTGAATTTAGTATAGATTGAATTAATTTGTGGCTCAATTGTGATTGAATTAGATTTTTAAATTTGTGGGTTTTGAGAACTTGGAATTCTATGGTCTCTGTAGAACTGTAAATATTTTTTAAATTTGGGGGTTTATACTAATGATTCAAGATATTCCCCTGTTCTTGTATTTGGTTTGTCTGGCAACTATTCCTTTTAAATCAAGGATCTGGAGTCTAAACTTCTCATCTGTTTCCCAAGCAATAATTGTGCTAAAACTTGTCTCCCTCTCTCCATGTATCTTATGGTTACTTTCAAACTTGATTGATTTTATTTTGATTCTTCCTCAAATGAAACAATGTTAATTGTATTTAGAATTTTGTTGACATTTTTTTTTATCTTCTTTTATCTTCTACTTTTAGTACTAATGTTAAAACAAAGGTTTTGTAAGAGGTTAGAGTCAACAAGGATATACCTTATATGACATGCACTACCTATTCTATTTTGTTTTCTGTTTTTTTGTCTTTTGTTTATGGATTCCTTGCTAAACTTTATATTATTGTGGCTTCTAATCTTTTGGGAAATTTTTTTGCTAAACTTGATATTATTGGTCTCTGTAGAATTGTAAATATTTTTTTAATTTGGGGGTTTATAATTGTAATAGCACAAAATAATTGGATCTATGCTTATTGGGTGTGTTTCTTGCAGATTGTGGTTTTTTTCGTGTTTTCTGTTATAATTTGGGGGTTTTGCTCCTATTTATAAGTAGCATGATAGGTGACCATATCATTGGATTTAATCTGTTGCTTGTATTATAAGTAGTATTGTTCTCTGATATTGCTTGAAATTTAATTGAATTTTTTCTTTTTTGACGAAGTCGTTCGTCTATCTATAAATCGAATTATTTAGTTTTTGATTGAACTGCTTGGTTTTTTAATGGTTTGGTTACTGAACTAACACGAATGCTTTTTTATTGATGGGATGATTTAGTTGCTTATGAAAGTTGGATTCTTGTCTTTACAATGAAATGATTAGTTTCTTATCAATATCGAATTATATTGAAATGATTTAGTTACTCATTAAAGTTGAATTCTTTAGTTTTTAAACGAGGAAGGTTACTTGGAAGGGGACTATTGTGTTTTTATTTGTTTATCCATATAGGGTTTGGTTATTGTTTAGTTGACATCCATTGAATTGGACTCGTGTAGTGTTTCATGTGGTTTTGAATTTGTTACTGATAAAAGAAGTGGATGAGGATTGCACATATCTGGTTAATTACAGGGTTTGTGTACTAGTTCTTCAAGTAGAGATATTAAATTGGATTTAAGAACTAAATAGGGGACTGTTTTTTCACTTTAGTTAATTATGGAAGTTGTTTAGTGGTTTTTGAATAACTCTTTGAATTCTTCTCTCATCAATGGATTGTAGCACTGTTCTTCTTCATCAATAGCATTTGCATATGTAACCTTATGATTAACATGGTGACCATATGGGATTTCAGTGAATATGAATCATTTACATCTCGATGGAGGATATCAATGAGGTCTTCAGGACCCTAGTTTGCTACAACTTCATCAAAAGTATGCATCATATTTCATATGGGAAGGACAAGCATATGCATATATTCATCTGCTCATTCTATTAATTTGTTATCTTTCAATAAATTGTAGTCAGGTTCAAACATCATATAAGGAGTAGAATTGATGAGAAGAGTTATCAATTAAATGAATGACATCTAACAGAAGAGCAAGTCCAATTAGTAAATGCGTCTTGGTTGGGTGCGTTATTTATTATTCGGTTAGGCCGAATTGATCATCCTTTGATCTACGCCAATGTAGAGAGGTGGTATTTTGAGAACAATACATTCCATTACAACATTTATATTGATGTATATGAGATATGAGGACTGACTGTAGATGGCAAGCCAGTTACATGTCATCATATCGTTGATGCATCAGTTTCAACAGTGCCAACAAGGTACTTGCAGTTTTTTGAAGATATTGAGGGAGCCAGCAGATATGCTTGGGGTGCTGCAACCCTTGCATTCCTCTATCGCTCACATGGAAAAGCTTGTACTTTCACGTGAAGACATTTTAGTGGTTCAACCACTCTCATGCAGGTAACTTTTTTTTTTGGTCTATGACATAAGCGTAATAGTTTAGACTGTTTTCCTAAAATATTTAATATTTATCATATCTTAATTTATTGCAGTGCTGGTCGTATGAGCATATTATGCATATGAGACCCACACTGCATAGTATCTCTCCAAATATGTCTAGGGCCAAAAGATGAGAGCCACCGAAGAAATATCATGGCAATCCACATAACCTAATGCCTCCCATCATACAAGAATTTGATAACCTCCAATCTAATGAGGTTAGTGTATAATTTGATATTGATTACTTTCAAATGTATTTAAGTATTTGTAATTATTTTTATTGAATGATTGCATGTCATACAACAGGTAATATGGAATCCCTATTTCAAGCCTGATGAGGTCATTTCAGATGATAGGCAGCACGCATATGAAACTGCAATGTGCATAATAATACTCATATTTGACGATATTGCCGAGCTGTACATGCCAGATCGAGTACGCCTTCAATTTGGAGCTAAACAGGGCATTCCTAGAAATCTTTTGCTGTTGGTAAAACGGCTAGTGGGCAGTGAGCTTGGCGAACTATGAATGCAAACAAAATCCAACACTGGGAAACTTGCTAAGACCGTACGATGCCTGAAATTGAAGAAGATACTGACAATGGGTTGCCTAAGAGGAGTACAAGGCCTGGTACACCCTAGTGTCTCATCCTCGAGTACATAATGTCGCTAACCTACCCAAAGACATATTTCAACCTTATAACCAGGAAAAAGAAGAAGTGGTTCCTGCTCATGAACCATAATATATAATGAGACCTCAAGGTTGGTATGTTTTTATTGACCTACAAATTCTTATAGTCTTGTACTTCACTATTAGTTCTATGGAATTGTTTAAAAATATTAAATAAATAATCTTGTTTTTGCCTGTTAGTGCAATTCAGGCATCTACAGTCATGTTAGCAGACGCACTTACACTTGGATAGAAGTGGAATCCTGAAGTGTATAATCGCATTAACAATGTATTTATAACATTATTTAAGTTTGTGCTTGTGGATATGGATGACATAGAAGCTAGAATGGAAAATTTACAACGTGAATATCATGACGAAGGTGTACCTGACGAGGCCAGATATGATGGAGTGGGTGAAAGTAGCCGAGCTGTAAAAGACCTAGCTCTATCCACACAACCAGCAGTTGAAAAACACATAATATATAACACACAAAACAAACAGTATCAGCCTAAGAGAAGGCGACCAGTGTAATAGGTTCTTGACCCTTGTAATTTTGTTCATTTTGAAAAATGTAATGTATTGGTCATTTTGACCCACCCAATTTGTTTAATGAATTTTGTTAAGTACAATTTCGTTAAGTCTTTCTACTTTCTATTTTCTTACTTGTGAAGTTCAAATGATATTATATGAGGTGCCTATGTTGTAAAATTGTTTAAAGAGAGAAACAGTAACAATGTTTAACGTGCCGAAGTTGTAAAATATCAATTAGTGGCTATTGGTTGAGTCACTAATTTGCGTATTGGTTCAAAATTAATGGCCATCCTAGTGTTGGTCTTCCCTAGTTCTCATTAAAATTTGCTGCTAAATTAATCTCTTTGCTACTTGTTTGAGTCCAGAGTTTTGAAATTCTAAAAAGGCATGTTTAAGTGATTAGTGAGACCAAACTGAGACCACCTAATACTTCACATGTATTAGTGACCAGTGACATTGAGACCAAAACTTTATAATGAACATTGAGACCAACTGCTCCTTCACATGTATAGTTTACATGCTACTAATAAGTTGAAAAAGCAATAAGTTGATAAATCAGTGACATATGAGTGATCACATGCTACTAAATATCAATTGATAATTCACATTTTGGGATGTTGAACATCCCAAAATATCAAGTGTTAGGATGTTGAACTCACTGGGAACAGCCATAGACTCTCTGGATGTTCGCAGTGACATTTTTTGTTGTACAACATCTGGAAAAGTCACAATTTCAAATGTACGACATCTGAAAAAGTCACAATTTCGGTTGTCCAACATCCGAAAATGTCACTGTGAACATCCAGAGACTCCCTAGATGTTCCCAGTGAGTTCAACATCCTAACACTTGATATTTTGGGACGTTCAACATCTCAAAATGTGAGCTATCAATTGATATTTAGTAGCATGTGATCACTTATATGTCACTACGTTATCAACTTATTGCTTTTTCAACTTATTAGTAGCATTTGAACTATCAATTATGCTATTAATATCAATCAATCATGCTATTAACTCAAATTGTGAAAAGATGAAGTTGATGTACAATTGCAATTCTAATAGTTGCGTTGCTATGAATGCTCCCCATTTCTCATCTATATGCAACTTTTTTATTTTTGAATGAAGCCTTTACAAATTAACATAGCCTATTTTCAATCTAAAATAGCTTCAATAAGGGCTCCAAAGTCTTCATTTCAAGATTTATGACCGCACAGAAGTACAACAACACAATATTAAGAATATTTACATCAAGTAATTCACTATATCGGTTCTCTGCATGTCCTCCTATTATGACCCTCTGCGCCACATTGTTTACACTTAAAAGGCCTGGTGATCGGATGTTCCATCTCGAATATTCTTCGTTGTTTTTTTAGTCTACCGGGAAGGTGTGTAGTCCTTGGTGGCAACACTGTCCGGTTGTAAATACCTGTCAACTCAAGAACGTCTGGGACAGGCGCAAAGGGAGCTTCAAAGGCCCTTTTAAAGTATTCCACTGTGAAATACCTAAGGCAGTACACAGTGGGATCCAAATACATATGGTTAATGGCTGCATTGACATGGGCACATAGAATGCCACTGAGTTGCCATTTTCTACAACTGCATGTCCAATGTGTTAAATCGACAGCGTGCTTCTTTCCAAGATAGTGGATCTCAAACTGCGTGTCCATGGTGGATATAACTGTGTGAAAAAATTGAGCCTTCATCTTTTGCAAGTCAAGTAATTCTTGGGCCTTCGGTACTAGCATGCTGCTCAAAGTATTACCTAACTCCCTCTTCTCTTCAAACTTGATCAACTGTACCCTTATTTCTTCACACATTGTAATGATCGGCTTTTCTCGAGCAGATAAAATCCAAGCATTAAAAGACTCGGCCATGTTTGAGGTAAGATGATTGTATCTAAACCCTGGAAAGGAGGCATCTGCCCAAAATTTGGGGACAATATTCTTAATCCACTTATATGCTTTTGGGTCAGCACACTGTATATCAAACATTATTTTTTCAAACCCACCAATGGTCGCTTTACCGGCAGCCTTCCAAAATAGCATAAGCAATACTTCAGTATTTGTTGACTTCTTCATAAAGCCCTTGAAGTTCTCTCCCATATGTCGCATATAAAATGATGAAAAACATGTGGAAAAACATTTTTCTTTTGCTTCTGGTAGGCTTTTCTGTCAATCTGATATAATGGTTAAGGTAGGCAGATTAGGATACACATTCAATAGCTCACTCAATATACTTAAGAATCAATACCAACTCTGGTAGTGCTCCTTCTCAACCACCGTAAATGCTAATGGAAAGAGCCCATTATTTGCATCTAGCGCGATGGCGCATAATAATATGCCTTAATACTTTTCTTTTAGGAATGTCTCATCAATACCAATTAGTGGTCTGCATCAATTAACAAAACGCATAATGCATGGACGATAAACAATAACGAGTCATTTGAACCTACCTTCATCTGTGTGGATGCGAACTTCAGTTCCTGGGTTGGTTCTTCAGATCTTCTCAATATACATGGGGAGATCATGGTATTGTTGTTCATGTGATCCATCTATCATCTCTCTAGCAACCTTTTTTCCCCGTCAAGCTTGTATGTAGGAAAGTCTGACCTTGTGATCACGTTGAACATCATTTATAATGTCTTTTGCTTTAATTTTTGGTTGGTCAAGAAGGCCTTGAATCTTTTTTGCCACCCAATCACTACGAGCTAGTGGCTGATGGACCCTCCCCATTGGACCACTACATGTGTGCTCCTTAACCATAAACTTCACTTTAAAGTATGAGGTACTGCCAACTCGTAAGCACCGCACTTGCCATGTGCATCCCTCTGCCTTGCAAGTTGCCCACACCCGTTCTAATTCACTTTTATCAAAATTTAGAACAAAATTGTAGTGGATTGCAAAATCAACTAGATAATGCCAGCATTCATTAAAATTTTAAAAAAATTGCCCAACATTCAATTGAACCTCATTACCAACTCCTCTACATGAACTCTCTAGTGGTTCAATATACTCCATATCACACTCTAGTACGAGCTCAGGGTTAAGCGCCACTTGAATGTCTTGATCTTGCTCAGGTAAAGCGTTATGCCGACTATTGACAAAAGATATAGTGTAAGACGAAGCAACAATTTCTGTACATACAAGATTAAAATAAATCAATTTACAGATGAAAAAATAAATTGTAAATATACCTATTCCTTGAAGATGGGCCCTCAGCAATAGAATCCTGTTGTGGCTCCATTGTAACGGCAATATATACTACAATTCTCAAAAATTCCCCTCCCAACATAAAAGATATATCTATATCATCACTTACATCAATCAAATCAAGCCCACTAGATAGACTTGTGTTGTGGTACATAATAGCTAATTTGCTTGGATCACACTTGGTTAAATTTTCAAAATGACTTTTTAGTTCCTCCACGGAACTATTCCCATTATATTTGGTGACCTTCAATTTTCCTCCTTTATAAATAACATGTCCTTCATCTGCATTCGTCTCAAATGATCCCCCATATCGGAATACCAGTTGCATTCCCTCAATAGCCATCGTCAATACTATTGTATTAAATGAATAGCAAAATTTCTGTTACAAAAAATCAATATAAAAAAATTACCAAAAATTGGGATATTTATAACTACTTTAGCGTTCATAAGATCCGAGTATTACATAATAGATTGAAATAGTGTACTACTAAAATTGTGACTAATAAACATTAAACAAAAGAGAACAACAAATACTCACATAAATACAAAATAAACAATAGATTTTAATACAAACAAACAAGTTTAACAATTATGTAGCCAAAATAATGAATACAATGTATCAACATGATACAAACAACAAATAATTATATAAAACAAACAACTCTATCAATATAAAACAAATTTCATTTATTAATAAGAAATACACAACAAATATTAATAACAAAATAGAATATCCTATAAAATAACCGATAATAAACATCAATTAATCAACAGTATAAGGCAAGAGTAAGAACGGTACCAATCACATCCAAATAGTAGGTCTGTCTCTTCAACTTTGTGGATTACTGTATTAGGGGACAGTAAAGACGTTATGATGCGTTTTTTTCAACTTTATAAAAAGAAAATAAATAACTTTCCTCCAATACGGGGGAAAACTTGGGGCGAAAAATTTCAGATCTTCAACATTCGAATCTCCAAAAAAATCAAATGTTGTACATCTGAAAATGGGAAAAAACACTGTTGGAGCTGCGGCTAATTTCAGATGTTCAAGATCTGAATATCTAAAATTTTTGGATGTTGAACATCAGAAAAAGAGTAAAGTTGTCTTTTTTTAAAAGTGTCGTTGTGGAAGATAAAAAATAGACACTTCTGTAATAACGGAAACTATTTGGTGTAACTGTAATAACGTAAGCTATAACGAATATCTACGTAATTTTCTCATATTTAAAATATAACTAAGTTAAATAAAAATTAACGAGAATGCCTTAAAATTTTCAAAATTTTATAATATTTTGTTATTTATTTTAATTAATTTCTAGTATTTTTATAAATGTGTGTTGGTGATAAGTGATAACTATCAAATCCCCAAATATGAGTTCTATTTGATGTAAAGAAGAGAAAATAGAATTAAAATACAATACACAGTCCTATTTTGTGCTCGTCCTCATCATTAAAATTAAAATACAATAAAATTAAAATAGGATTTGAATGTAAAATATGAAATACACGTTTCAATTTTGTGCTCTTCCTCATGCCCAACTCCTCTTCTGCTCAGTCGCCGAACCAGACAGACCTCTTCCTCTTCAATGTCTCCCTCTCTCTCTAATGCCACCACCCCAACACTCCCTACGACCTCCTCCACTACCCCAACTCTCTTTCTCCACAATTATCTCTTTAACCACCCCACACCAGCTCTCTCACTCCACAATTCTCTAGTCGTCTCAGGTCTAAACCCCGACTGCTACACCTTTGCCTTTGCCATTAGGGCATGCACCGAGCTGCCATGGCCATCGCCGGGCCGAACTCCACACGCCATGGCCATTGTCACAGGCCATGCCCAAAACCTCTTTGTTTCCTCCCCTTTAGCACTCTTCTATCTGAACTTTTTCCTCATTGACTATTCTCTCAAAGTGTTCGGTCTGATGCCTCAAAGAGATGCACCTGCTTTTTAACAGCATGATCTCCGGTTTGGTTCGAGCTTCTCGACATGAAGAGGCCGTGTCCCTCTTTGGCCAAATGGCTTCGTTTGGTTTCTACGTCTCCCGATTCTACTACATTGACGGCCATTCTACCCGCCATGGCTGAGCTTCAAGTGCTGAGGCTCGGTCGAGCCTTAGAGTGCTTTGCCTTCCTCTCTCATCTCCATGTGGCCACTGGGCTGGTTTCTTTCCATGCGAAGTTGCAGGAAGCCATGGATGGGGCCACTCGTCGAGTGTTTAATGAGAGACATTGTCTCTTACAATGCCATGATCTCGGGCTATTCTTTTAATGGGGATTTCGACACAGCCTTGATTTGTTTTGGAGAGATGAATTCGATGAGCTTGAAGCCTAACTCGAGCACAATTGTGGGTTTAATCCCGGGTTTCGATCCCTTTAGAGCAATTGGATCGGTGCATGGCTATGCTTTCAAGGCTGGAATGTGCTGTGCTCTAACATGGCTGTGGCCACTGTTATAGTTACTTTGCGCTTACGGGAAAAATAATGACATTTCATCGTCTCGACGGCTTTTCGATGAGATCCTCTAAAAGAGCTTGGCTTCTTGGAATGCCATGGTCTCAGGTTATGGCCAAACCGAAGATGCCATTGCACTCTTCAAACACATGCAAAACCAGGTAGTGGAACCCAACACATGCAAAATCAGAGGAGGTTTCGTTTCAATCTTTTTCAATAATCTATGCACTCCACAAAAAACAAAAAAACTCTATTTGTACCAATTTTGTTAAGTTCCCTTCATTTCGATCAAAGATGCCGAAGCCTTCGAAATTTAGGCCTAAACCAAAACGAAGCAAAACCTGGTGTTGTCGTTTTGGTTAGATTCCAACTGCTTCGGCTTAGATTCGGGTCTGCTTTGGCCTCTTCAACTTAAACAAAGTAATATATCGGATGGGATTAGCACGTGGTGATCCTAATTTTTAGAGAATATATAATATTTAACATGGAGATCATGAATATGAAAAATAAATAAATTTTAAAAATTAAAAATGATTATTATATTAAAAAAACATTTAGACTGTTAGTTACCGTTGTTTTCTAGATGGACCACCTATACGCATCCATATAAAGGTCGATCCTTTATACCCGTGGACTACATATTGTAGAAATGTGGTCCAGCCCAACCGCATGAAACAATTATTCATATATAAGTATATAAGTATTTTTTATTTTTTTATTATTTTTATATATAAATATCTAATTTATCTATATTATTTTTTAAAAAACAAATTCAAGTTCTTCCCTTGAATCGGTTAAAGCATCAAATTACTTCATTTTTCTTATCAAACCGAAAAAAAACTCCGAAGTGATTCGGACAACATTGATTTGTACCCAAAAACTTGCTAATATTGATTAGAGACTTTAATTTTTGGATAAAATATATAATCATTTAAGAACTCAAAATTCAAAATTTTATTTTTGTCTAAAAATTGCCAGCAGTGATTCTAAAGCCAATCCCAAGGTGTCAAATTAAAAAAAAAAGAGAGAAAAGAACAAACACAAAGAACTAGGTTTTCTGATCGAGGGCACAAGTGTACAGTATGATGAAGCAAAGGTCCCTCTAAGAGGGTATACCTTTTTGCGTTTATTTTGGAGTTTGAGCCGTGCAACACTGCTGTATGATACAGATAAGTATCTAATGGAGAACAACGGGAATAAATCATAATTCCCAATAGACATTTGCCCATGACACTTAATCTCGATAGTGGATGTGCTCATAGTTAACAAGTTTCGGTTTAAAATACGATTTTTTCCAAAAATTTCAATTATTTAAAATCGGTTACGAATTATAAGTTTTTAAAAGGTCTTCAAAAAATTGTGTTTTTCTAATAGAATCGATATAAATCCGTATTTTATCTTTTTAAAAAAAAAAATTCAAAAGAAACTTTTTTTTTTTATATAACTTCATTCCTTTATTAACTAAATATTATTAAATTTTCGTTTAAAGATAAATATGGGGAATAATAAATAATGTATGAGAGGGGCATAGAAACCTTGAGGATTGGAAATGGACCACAATCTAGAAACGGATATATTATTATGGAAAAAATTTATATAAGGCCTCAATTTTATACTATACAGGTAAGGTACACCCCAAAAATCCACTGGAGAACGTTTTTCCTATGTTGTAAAACCCTCAAATCGATCATCTTGACCTTGAGATTCATTGATTGAAAAAAAGAGGATTTTTAAACTTAAAAAAAATTCATCTTTTAACCCATTATTTGGACTTTCCACTTTCAAGATTTTTAAGTATTTATAGATCTGCTTGACCATCAGGAACTTTAAATTTCATAATTGAGGGCAGCAATAAATTTTCATATCACTACAAGACTTTATAATGCAGAAATTATATTTTCAACGTAGCTTTGAGGTGCACCTTACTTCAATAGTACAAGGTGGACACCTTATACAACCCTCACCCTCACCTTGAGGAAATGGACCAAAATTACTCATTTCTACATATGAGGACTCATAGAAACCTTGCCCTCAAAATACACATAGTACCAAATCGAAATAAAACTGAGATAATTGTGGTCCATTTCCATTAGAAAGTAAAGTTTGAGGTAAGTGATACAAAGCCGGAGTATGTTTGAGTGGTCCTGGCCATACCATGAGGGCTCTCATCACCCATGCTTGTTAATGGAAACAAGAGTGTGGACAAACTAATAGAAGAAGAAACCAAGAGTGGAGCCATTAATATAAGATGGGGAGGTTGGCAACATGTCTAGAGCAAGAGAACCCAATAAGACTCTCTCTCCCTCTATTATCTCTCTCTCTAAGGAGGAGAAAATTTATAAAAGAGAAAATTTATAGAAGGTGCCACCGTTTATAAATTTTTTTTTTCAGTTGATCATTTTGACCTGAAAATACACGGATATTAAGAAAGAAGATTTCAAGTCCTAAAAATAATTTATCTTCTAACATATTAATTGGACTGTACATTTAAAAGATTTTTAAGTATCTAAAGATCTATTAGATCAACACAATTTATGTACTTCCTAGTTTACAATTAGGGTAGAAAATATTTTATGCTCAGTATAAAATTTATGATACCAAAACTATATGCCTTATTTTGATTATCAATGGGAAAAATATCTATATATATATAGGAGGGATTATCTACAAAGATACCATTTATCTTTTGTATATGAAGATCACAATCATTCTTGTCCTTTAAGTTTCAAAATCGGCGGTTGTTAAATTGTCATTGAATAAACACAAAGCTCAAAAAAAAAAAATCTCAAACTACATGAATCACCCGAAGCCATCCAATTTGACATCTAATGAACGAAAATAATTGTGACCTCTATGTACAAACAATAAAAGGTGTGGTTTCTATAAGGTTGCAATCTTAAACAATCCAATTAAAGCGCACCTCCAAATTTTATCGTAACATGTAATTTTCGTGTAAAAATTTCTTAGGACTATCTTAAAATCTATTTTCATATCTAATTATAAAATTTTAAATTCCAAAAATGGTTAAAATCAAGTAGATCTATAAACATATGAAAATCTCAAAAATAGATGGTCTAGATAATGTGTTGCAAGATGCATTATTCTGAGACTCAATTTTTTTATTTTATTTTTTTCATATTCATACATCTCGATGTCGAGATGATCACTTAGAGGATTTTTCAACATTGAAATAACTTTTCTCGATAGATTTTTGAAGGGCATATGTAATTCTATATTTTAAGTTTGCATCATTATATAAACCTTTTCCTAAATTAATCTCTTTATAGAGAATCTTACCTATCTATCTCTCTCTCTCTCATTGTGTATTTATACGGGTACTTTACATGGTATGTGGAAACAAAAGTGTGGAAATAGAAATATGAGGTGCCCTCCCCTATAAATTAGTGCCATAGGAGATCTTTTTCTTGACCATGTGGCTTCAGCTGTGAATCCCCATGTTAACCCCCACTAAACCGTCCCCCTTAGAATATCCCCATTCCTTTGTGTGCATTCCATTTATTTATATATTTATACACAGTATATGCATAGCAACTGGCTACCTAGGTAAATGAATTGATTACTAGAGAGAGACATTAATATATATATAAAGTTGTAAAACAATTGGAAAAAATGGGAACCCAGATCTCTAAATTGAAAAGAGATGAAGAGAATTCCCAGATGTTCTAGAGAGAGAGTGGGGGGAGGTTAACATATGACCAGATTTCATGTTTGGGAGAGCTGCAATTTGAGAGATGGAGACTTTAAAATAGCACTGGAGAGAGAAAGGGTTAAAATAGGGCTAAATTTCATTTCTTAATTTGTAAGTCTTTAGTTTAGAGATTTTATGTATATTTAAAATAGCACCCCATTTATATGCTTTTTATATTTAAAATAGCATCCAATTTATATGATTTTTCATTAATTTGACCTATGCATGAACAGAACCAATTTTCATTTTTAGGTGAGATAAAAGTTTAGAGAGAGAGTGAGCGAGAGATTGATTGATTGATTGATTTTGTGAACAGGAACAATATTTGTTTGTTTTTTTGGGAGAGCAAAAGCAAAATTTATGAATAAAAACATATAAATACAAAAATGGAACGGGCGGTCTGTTAGGACCTCCATGTAAGATGCCGTTTATTCAGGCTGTGTCTAACTCTGGCAAAATTTGAAGCGAATCCAACGCACTCTCAAACCCAACCCACAAATACTTTGTTGGGTCCCTGAGATTCGATCCAAAACTGCATCCTGCTTCATCTCCATTTCAATCTCACAAATACCCAGGTAATTTTTTGATGGTTTCTATTCACCAGTGAAAAGCCTTTGCTTTTTCTTCTTTATGGGATCCTGTAATTTGTGATTCAGATATAAGTTTGAATGAGTCTTGTTTGAATTTGAATTGGGTGGTTTTCTCTGTGAGAATTGGCTTTTGATTTGGTGTTTTCTTGCACATATTGTTCTTCGGCCCGAATTTTTTGGTTTGAATTATTCCTTTTCTCTCAATGGATTTGGCTGTGATATTCTCCCTGATCCTTTTGTATTACTTTTGGATTTCGTGTGATTTTTAATTTTTAATGATCTGACGCTTATCTCTTTAATGCATCTTCATCAAACTTCCAGTTGTTGCAACTTGAAGATGTTGAAATTTGGTTTGATGATTCAATATGGACGAGCCGTTTGTTTATTTGATCCATTTGGTTTTTCATCTATTAGTGATTATAGCTATTGTTTGATTTTTCATCGATATTATGAGTGTTTTTAACCTTTCTTCTCTTCTGTTATTCTGTAATATGCATCTTGATTCAAATTTCAGATTGAAGCTATAGTTTTCTTTTGATCCATGAGCATATATCCTCATGCAAATGCGAGAACTGTTAATTCTATCGATTGCATTCCTTAATAATCAATTATGAGAGAACCACAGTCCATTTGTATTCATAACTCACTGGTTTTTCTTCCTTTTTTTCCAATCTCTACAATTAAACCTAACATGTTGAAGCCAATCGATGGGATCTTCAGGTGAAATTGGTGTAAACTTAGGAGGTCCTTCAAAGGGTTTGAGAAGCAAAAATGGCCAACAAGTGATACATAAAGTCCCTATGAAAGTTATGGGAGGATATCATTTCTGGGGAAGAGCTCCTGCATATATTAGAAAAGTCGAGGAATGGAGAGACCATTGGAAGGGCTCAAGGAGCAAAGAAATGCATATATGTGGATGAATCCCAGCTGCCCCACCATGTCTGGTTCAGCTCCCAAACCAACTTCGCACAATTACTCTGTTCAAACTGGTGAAGAATTTGCCATCGAATTCTTGAGAAAAGATTCAGTTCGATCCCCAAGCAATCAGAATGAGATGAATAAAGAGGTTCCTACTCAGACCACTTGTGAGGATCTCACAGGAATTCTCGGGCTTGGAAGAATGGTATCGGGAAACGGCTCGGATATGCCCATATTTTTGGGAGAAAGGGGCAGTTCTGATGAGATTGAGCAAATGGGTTATTCCGATACAAAGAACATAAGTAAGAGCAGAAGATTGTCTGCTAATTCTTTGGGGGAATACAGTACCGATCAAGCGCCAATTACCCCAATATCCCAATTGGCTCCCCCAATATCCCATTCTCGTTCTCCTTCTGAGCCCTCAGGATCTCGCCCTTATGGGTTAGGAACCTCTGATAATGCTCAGATAGGAAAGATGAAATTACTTTGCAGCTTTGGGGGAAGAATTTTGCCAAGGCCAAGTGATGGTAAGCTAAGATACGTTGGGGGAGAGACTAGAATTGTCACAGTTAGTAAGGACATTTCATGGCATGATTTGATGCAGAAAACTCTCTCCGTCCATAACCAGTACCATACAATCAAATACCAGCTCCCTGGTGAGGACCTTGATGCCCTAGTTTCAGTCTCTTCTGATGAAGACCTTCAAAATATGATGGAGGAGTACAATGGGTTAGAAAATGTTGATGGGTCTCAAAGACTTAGAATATTTCTTATCTCTGGTAATGAATCGGATACTGGTTCGTTCGATATGAGAGCTGCTCGTAGGAACTCAGATCTACAGTATGTTGTTGCAGTTAATGGCATACTTGAGCAGAGCCTAAGGAAAGGGTCTAATGGCCATGGACTATCCAGCCCATTAGCTCATGGAATGGATGTTGGAAATGAAGTCTCTTCCTCTATGGTCTACACAGATAAGCGACCCCCAGCTCTTTCTTCAAATTTTACTGCTCATTTTTTGCATAATGCTGTGAAATCTCCTTCCAGTTCTCCCCCAATGTCTCCCTTGCCGAAGCTTTCCAAGATCCCACGTGAGCGCTCCTTTGATCGGCTATCCCAAGAGGAAGACGAAAATTACACGATTTTAACTGCCCGACCGCCTCAGTATTCGCGTGCTATGGATGAGCTTGGGTCTATACCAAAATCTACCATGTCTCCTCAATTCCTGCCCATGGTTTCTCGATCAGGAAAAATTGTTGGCTCCCCTGCAAAACCACCCCTTGAGGTGGTACCTTCTCCAAACCAATCAACCATGCCCGAAAGGATGAGTAGTTTGGGAATCTCTCAAAGGCAGGGAGCCATTGCAAAATCAGAGCAAATACCTTTGGGAAACGACCTAAAACAGCAGAACTCCAGTTATGACCCTGAAAGTGGACAATTTCAACTATCGGAGGATCCAATTTTTCCCAGTATTTACGTTCCAGTTGATCCTCCAAAACCTTTTGTGCTTAGAACGGATGTTGATTCTACTCCTAGTGAGAGTGAGTCTGACGGGTATACTTTATATGGCCAGCCTGTGCTTCAGGAAAGGGTATATCGATCAGAGTTCTACCCTAGGCAGCAGGTCGAGTCACAAAATCGATTGTCAAGATCAAATGAGTCTATTAATTCTCAACATGGGTTGCCCCATGCTCTATCTGATTCACACCTCCAAACCCACGTCAGAGAGTCAATTTACCGATTTCATGAAGGAACGCCAACAGATTGTGCTAATATACCAGGACAATCAACTGATTCATTTTGCTCATTTGTGGGGCAAAACACTTTACGAGAAGGGCTGGTTCAGTTCCAAAGATACAAGGAAATGGCTGGGGCAATGTACCAGGCAACTCAACCACCATTAACGGCCACGAGTACCAGTGAGAGATTGGGATCTCTAAACCTTCCTAATCATATTGATTTTCAAGAGGGCAAAGAATCTATGCTTCTTACAGGAGAACCTCATAAAATTGAAGAGCAAGGTACGGCTTCTAATATTGGTTTAGGATACCATTGTCAGGAACCTGTTTCTAGTCAAGCTGCAGTGAACTTCATTGGGGAGGAAGGCCTTCTTTCCCCTCAGGATAAAGTTAAACCATTCATAAACATTGAAGTACAGCCTCCTGATGACTTGAAAAAATCAGGACTTCTACAAAGGGAAGTTACATCATCTCCCATTTTGGAATCCAAAAGTCCTAATTTGGAATCCAAAATTCCTGATAGCCATAGAAAGCTCCCCCAACATGAAGACATCAAGAAACTGAGCTCCAACTTCACTGCTTCAAGCCAGAAAAGTGCCATAGATCAGCAGGACAATTTGGAGGGGACATTGAAAGGTGTACTGGGAACAAATGATGAGGAAACTAAGCCTACTTTTGAATTGTCCAGTAGGGATTTCCCTGGAATTGCGACTCTAGACAAGGCATTTGATAGTGATATCAAGCAAGACTTGGCTAATAATAAATACCAAGAAGAGAACACTTCTTCTTGTCTCCTCCCTACAAATTTTCCTGAGGGTATCATAATTCCTGATGGGTTTCCAACTACGCGTGCTGGTGCCGATTCTGAGCTTTCAAGCCTTCTAAAAACCACTCCTGTTTCAGCATTTGATGATAGAGGTTCTATGGATTGGCCTTTCTTTGCAACTTCAGGTGTTGATGGTGTTCAGAGGACAGAGGTTTCTCTTTTGGATCAGGACCTAATGAGTTACAAACCTTCAAAAGCTGAAGATGCCAGTTTAGTTCAATCAGCTCATCAGAATACTGTTGATGGGCATGTTCACGTAGTTGTTGAAGATGTAACTGATAAAGTGCCATCTGATTTATGTTCTTCTCCAGCCACTGTTCCACATGTATTGCATGAGGAAATTGATGATGCCCCAGTTGAGGAAATGCCATACCCAAGAATATCAGATGTTGGAAGTGTGTCTTCAGAATCGGATTCTGAGGTTCCCTCTCTCTCTCTC